TGCAAACTTATTATGTGATAGCTTGGCAACAATCACATGAAACCAATAGATGGAGCACGCCTATGTAACTGACATTCAAGCAGCTGAAGCCAGGTCCGCCATCGTACTGTAGGATAGAAGCGCTGGATGCCAATGAAAACGGCACGAAAACTCAAATGTCCCGCTTCAAAATAACTTGACATTTAGCCTACTTAGACTAAAGGTAAATCATTGAAACTTCGTATGAAAGATGTCGATAAGTCTAGGACACTATTGGATCGAATTAAAACCTTAAGAGTTAATATGTTTTATTTTAAATCTTCAAATAAAGTCGGTGCTCTTAAATGAGTTTTAAAATATTACATGAAACAGTTCATCAGCTGCTATTTTTTTATTTTTTGGTCAGTTAAGTTAAAAAAACAGTGGATTTTGTAGCTAAAGAGTTGAATTTGTTTGGATAATTTCTTTTTTTTTTTAGCTGGTGTAGTTTGTTTGTAATTTAAATTGTACTATTGGGTTACCCGCCATGCCGCATTGCGTAATGTGGGCAGATTATGCCTACAACCTCACTTGTAATACAGTTTAGATACTCAAGTTTGAAGCTATACAGCAAAGTTACAAAACTAATTAGATAAAACACGGAGTACCTACATATAAATGTTCTTAGTTTTATTCTTTGTATTCAGCTAAAAATAAGTATTTTTAAGTAAGCTCTTTCACAAAAATTTATATGACAGTCTGAATATAAAGGAGAGTTGTATAAAGAGTTTCAGAAACTATCTTGTGACTTTGAAAATTCGTACATTGTAAACCAAACGCCAGAACTTTATCAAACTTTTATACGATATAGATACATATATTATAAAATAATTTGTAGCTTTTCAGAATTGCCCAAAAATTTTTTGTTGTCAATTATGTAAACTAACTTTTTCTAAGAAACAGTAAACGCTAGAAACAAATTAAAAGCGTATATTGAAGGTCATGGTGTTAGTAATAGAAATATTTATAATACAAAGGCGTATTGTCACGGATATCATTGATATAAACATAAACTAACATTTAATTAGTTGTGCCTGCTATTAGTAGGGCTCACCACAGCCGGCAGCCGCCATCTTGGTGAAGATTAGTGAAAAATACTGGCTTCACATCGCGGCCAACATGCTCCATCTATTGGTCTTATATGATCGTTGTACCTGTATCTTGAAAATGATCGAGCTCCCTGAGTTCGTGTCGCTCTCGCTAGGCGCTGTATGTGTGCGACGTCAGTCGCTCTCAGTCGCGCCGCTACAGCTCACTCTGAATCGCCCCGCCCGCTCCGCTCCCAATCGCCGTATGTGTGTTTCTACCCTTAAACCCCAATCGCAGCACACCTGTGCACTCAACAACGTTTAAATTCTCCAATGTTAGTTATGTAAGCATAAAAACCTTTATCAAAGTATTATAAACAATAAAAGGGTTGGCAACGCCTTAATATTTTTATCTTTTGTTCTATACCCACACAATCTAACATAAATTATTAAGTGAATAATAATCTTGTGTGCTATCTCAGGTATTCAAATGCCTCTCAATTTGTCATTAACCTACCACATTACTGTCATTAAAAGAAGGAACTCCAGTAATACTAATGTGAAACTTTAATCCACCGAAGCTGTGCAACGTTACCAGACTGACGATTAAAAAAATGACACCAAAATTGATTGAAGCAAAAATTATCAGTGGTAAGTTTAAAGGAGAAATAGTCTTAATCCCAAGAATACTGATGATTTAATCCGAATTACCCTCTGAATTTAAGCAACTACAATTTCCTTTGTGTCTTCTTGCTTTCACAATCACCATTATAAGGCACTAGGGCAATCCCTGTCTATCGTCGGTTTAAATTTAGAAAATGCATGCTTTTCACACAGACAGCTGTATTTTGCGTGCTCACGTGGTGGTAGGTACGCCTAAAAACTTGTATATATTTTTACACCTAATGAAAAAACAAAAAGTATTGTTTATCCACTAGCAATTAAGTAAAGTGTTCTATTTTGATATTTGGTATACACTTTTATTATTCATTGTAAAGATCAAATTACCTTTTAAAATATTACTTGTTAAGCGCATCCAGTGTTGGGGAAGCTACTTTTAAAATGTAGCTCGCTACAACTACTGCTACATTTCCAAAAAAGTAGCTTAGCTACAGCTACAGCTACAGTTCCGAAAAAGTAGCTAGCTACAACTACAGCTACAATGAAATGTAGCTGCAGCTACAATTTTAGCTACTTTTCCAAAGACGTTACTTTTTATTCCACGCACATTAGGTAAATGTAAAATTAATTGCAACTACATTTTTATTGAACAAACATTTAAAAAATGCCAGTACTGTATCTAACATTACTTGGAAAAACAAATTATTCCTTGATTGTATTTAATTTGTTGGCATTATAAACCTAACATTACAACAACAGAACAGTTGGGTGTCCCATCATATTTAGTACTTATTTTTAAATAGGCCTATTGCATTATTTTTAAGCATCTTATATCATATGTAAATTGCATTATAAGTTCAAAGGACATACAACCAAACTATACTTTAAAAGCTCATTATATTTCTTTAATATAGATTCATTTGTAGATGTCTTATATCAACAATTAAGACCAATAAAACTGTAAAACGATTATTTAAAAATACTTTTTTGTGTTACAGAGCCTAGCCTACTGAAATTGGAGTTTATTGCCTTTCTTTACTTTTAGTATTAAAACGACATTGCTATAACTTTTAACCATAGTGATAAGTTACTTGTTTTATGAATAACACTTTTCAAAGTCAAGAAATCGTCCTTTATTGTCATTATGCATAGGGCAAATTGTGCTTCAACCTAGTTGGTACAGAAAACAGTATTCAGCAACTTATCCTGAAATCGGCTTTTAATTTAAACTTAAACATGTTAAAATTTGTAAAGTAAAAATAACATGTAGGCCTACTTGGCTATGTAACAAGTTGGCTAACTTATAGTAGGCTTGTTCTTGCAAGGACTAAACAGATATATTCCTAATAATTGAACTTGGAACTTGGTATTCGTCTTAAACCATAGCCTCAGTCCTATACAAGAGCTGTTAGCAGGAGCAAACTATGCTATGTTTTCAATGTAAGTTTCATGTTATATGGAGAATTTTTCATTACAATTATCATGTAAGTCTAGGCATATCTTATCTCATCAGGTAATTTCATCTTTGTTAATTTAGTAAACCTTTGAAAAATCTTCGTAATCTAACCAAAGAAGGGCTTGTGATGATAAACCACAATCAACAGCTGAAGCAAAGGTTGAAAGACCAGGTTTCTCATTATTTAAAGTTGTGTTGGTTTCCATTAAACTCCAAGTTGAAACATTATCAATATAATAAAGAAACTAAATTGATTACTAATTTCCCTGTCAATCACTTGCAAGAAGTCAATAGCTTCTCTTGTCACCGGCCGTTTAAACGTCGTCTGCATCTAGCGATTTTATTTTACCTGACGGTAATCATAGAGTAGTAAATTAAGGAAATGAGATCCAAAAATGTGGATAACACTCATTTAATGGCCTCTATGTCCACACAACGTTGTAATAGGGAATGAAACGGCTGTAACCAGCTGTATCACGCCAAGAAAGTAGGCCTAAGTTTTTGGAAAATCTCAGTTTGTTTGAAAGAGGTTGTTTCACGTAAAGTTGAGGTTATGATAAAAATCACTATCTCAAACAAATGTTAATGTAGCGAGAAAAATAGCTAAAATTCCGCTACAACTACATTAAAAATGTAGCTAGCTACAGCTAAAGCTATAAAATCTTAAAAGTAGCGTAGCTACAGCTAACGCTACAAAAAAAGTAGCGCGCTACTGTAGCGTCGCTACTTGTAGCGCGCTACTTCCCAACACTGAGCGCATCAACAGTCGCCGGGTAACTGCTAGTATGCTGATATTTAAACTCTGACAATGCACCTATTTTGTATGTACCAAAACATGTAAAGAATGTTGTGTACAAATGAAATATGTCTATGTCTATATCTTTGTATCCTTTCTGTATTCTTCCCTTTCTTCGTCACAGTGTAAACACTGGCTGGGTAGCTGAGTGGTTATAGTGCTCGCCTAGAAATCAAAAGGTCGCCGGTTCGATCCTGAGAAAAGTCAGTAGCTTTTTGATGGTTTGAAACTGGACCCAGCTGATCTTAGTCAGTAACAAAGCTACACAGGTCACACCATTCTACATTCATCCTTCACTCATATTTGGATTAAAATACACACATAGGTGGCGTCCTCATCTCAATAATTGATAATTGATCAATAATTGATAATTGATAAGGTCGCCTTTCTGAGTTTGCACAGTTTTTAGCCTAGCTTTTAATTGAACAATTTTGTTATTTAATTGTTCTTCTATAAGATAACATTTTAGTATCACTTCTCTAATTCCGCATCTGTTTGCATAATTTTATCCTCAAGATCTAAATATTTAATATTTTTATGTTGTGTAACTCTTGATTTAAATCTTAATTTTAATTTAGAAGAGCTGTCCCAATTTCAGCAGCGATGGACAAAGAAACTTCTAAGTCAGTGTTTTCAACCTCTCTGAGATCATTTATATTTTCTTCAGTGGACTGTTGCTGACAAGCTGGACATTATTCCAGTTTTCTAGCTCTTCTTTGTTGAGGTCTTTGACTACCGAATATGTCAAGTTAATATTTTTAAAGTGCACCCAACTTTTACCGAACCATGCCACCATGACCCATGACCACCATGAGGAACATACCTTCTACATTAAAAAAAAATTTTTGTTATAACTATTATTGCTGTTTTGGAAAACAATGGGCAGAAATAGTCTAAGAAATACATACTTTAGGGAAATATATGGCTTTTACCCTTAAAAACTCCTTTAAAAGTCATAATTACTATTTTTATACATTTTAACCTTCAAAAATTATAGTTATAGGTTATAGTTATAGTTATAGGTTCCCTTTTACAACTAGGGGCTTAAAAACAGTGATGCTTCTGCAAGTGTATGTTATAGGTGTGTATGACATCACAGAGTTTGTACACAACCACCCTGGTGGAGACAAAATCCTGATGGCAGCCGGAGGGTCTGTTGAGCCTTTCTGGCTCATGTATGCTGTCCACAACAACCCACAAATACTAGACATTCTGGAACAGCACAGGATTGGTAAGGTCAACACTAGATTAGTGATAGTAGAGATATCTTAGTAGGCTGCCCTGGGATGCAATACGGTCTGGCAAATCAGATCATCTCTTAGCCTGCACTAGAACTGACAAGTTTCTCATCCTACTGTACAATTTGAACCTAATCTATGATGCTGTAAAAAGGGGTAATGCAAACAAAAAGAGAACTGATGGTTATAGCATTGAATGTGCGTATAGTGTGTTGTATTAATAGTCAAAGGTATTACTAACCTATTTAGTTGATTTTTAGGTAATATATCTGTGGAGGATGCCAAGGTAGCAACAAGCAACATGGAGGATCCGTACAGCAATGAGCCCCGTCGTCACCCGGCTCTCAAACCAAGCTCCAACAAACCCTTCAACGCTGAGCCACCACCTGCCTTACTTACTGACAGCTTCATCACTCCCACGTAAGTTCTATAAACCAACAACCTTCTTAAATGGAAAGCGATCAGTAATAAATCAGTTTAAAAAGAAAAACCTTTGCCATCATTAAAGTGCTGGAAAAAAATTGTTGTTGCTTTATAGAGTTTTAAATGTAAAAAATTATTAATGAAATGATTTTTACTCTTATAAACACTAATGATTACATTATCTTTGAGTTGACTATTTTAAGTAATCGGATATTATGACTGTTATTCGTTTTGAAATAATGCATTAGTATTTTGCAATTGCTAAATTTAAAGCAACAGATGCACTAGTAAATTAGAAAATCTTCAAACAGTTTTTAATCAGCTGTTTTAAACAAACAGTCAAAACAATGTTAATGCAAGTATCTAGGCTATTGTAAAAGAGTGATTTTTACCATCAACTCTAAAATAAATTATTGTTTTGTGGATTTCCAGGTTAAAATATCCATTATAATAAATTAAAAATTCTACTGAAACCTACCTAACAAAAGCCAAAATTAGTCTCAAAATGGTCCCTTTATATTCCTTTTACAATCAAAATAAACTATACCAATCCATAGCTCGGTTCCCCGGTTTTTGAAATTAGTTGATTACTAACTGAAATACTTATGGTCAGTGAGTCAAAATATCACATGATGAACATTGTCGTGAATCAATAGTCTAAATTAATACATTTAGGGTATAAAAATGCTGTCACAGCGCTGTAAAACTGCACAGTGCAGGTTTCTTGCTCTCACCCGCAACCATGGATTTCCGCTCGGACAGGCGAGCTCAACCAGCGATCCAGTAGTATAGTTGTATATCGATGAAAACGAAAACCACCTGTAAGCCACTTTTTTTTAAGTATAAACACCTTTTCTCCCTATATTTCCTTCAACTGATAACCAATTTCAATAGGAGTTGACCCCAATCCCTTAAAAATATAATCACAAAACCTGATTCATAATTGGCAGTAGTGCCAATTTCTCCTCACATAATTTTGGGTAACAGGATGACTAATGGTTGCAGAAGGGTTGAAATTAGTTGATTAGTGTTTAGATAAAAATTACTTGTTAACCTGACAACTGTAATCCAAATATTTCTAATCACTTTAATAATAATACTATATTTAATTTACACTAGCATATTGAATTCTAAAAATTTTGGGTTCCTAGGGATTTGTTTTACGTTCGAAATCACCTTCCAGTACCGGATGTGGATGAAAAATCATATATGTTAGAAATATCAGGAGTTGGAGTAAAAAATGTTTCACTAACACTACATGACATCAAGAAATTCCCAAAATATACTGTCACAGCTGCCATTCAGTGTGCTGGAAACAGACGCAGTGAGATGTCCAAGGTACAATCAACTATACTACCATACTAACTGCTTAAACTTACAGACTTTGCTAGGTTGGTGTCAGGTTTCAAACAACATAATCTTTTAAAAGACCAATATAAATAAATATATGAATACACCTCTTTCATTGAAAAGATAAATGAAGGAAGTAATAACAAAGTTGCTTGGTTTAATCATGAAAAAATAATTTGATTATGATTGTTTGAAATTGGACCCCTGCTTGATTTGATCATTAGGTTTTTAATGAATGGTCCTGTATAAAAAAACAAACTAATCTTAGTAACAAAATGGTCACATTTAATCATTGCCCGGTTTGACTTTGGATTGTCATACTGTGTAGAAACTTTGAATAATAAAAAATAAAGTTAGAACTAACCACGATTATTTAGCATTGATTGTGTACATATCAAATGATTAAACTATAGGGACCATGGATATATACAAACTTTTGTCGTGATTTTAATTTCAACATCAAAATACAATATTGCACAATCGTGATATTTTAGGTCATTGACATTTATTATGCATCCGGTATTGCTGTTTCAGAAGAGAAGCACGTTGATAAATTATTTAAATTGATATTCCCGTAGTTAAAAATAATTATTTTATAAACCTATAAAACAAAATCATAAAATCTTACATAAAGATAACAATAACGGAAATTGTAAAAAGGGTATAAAGATAACAACTTCGTTATTCTTTCTCTTTGTTCTTCTATTTCTTTGGTTTCCCTTCATCACTCATTCAACAAGTTGCCATGGTTACTAATCACCCATGTTGTTATCAGCTTTTGTGACATAGCGCACAGCAGGGGGGTAAAACTTGACGATAATCGGTTAATTTTTACCTATTATTTAATTACCAATGAATGTACTACTTTATTGGTATTTGGTACTGTATTAATAATCGGTCAAAATGGCCAATTTTTGTCAAATTTTACACCAAATTTATTGAAATTTCAAGGTGAATATTAATAAAACATTTATTACCAAATATATGTATTCATTTAAAAGATTGATTTGTGGTATTGGGTTCCCCACTGAGTGCAGCCGAGCGGCACTAATGAGGGTCGGACCTTCTTGGGGGTGAACAATAGACGGCTTATCAGACCCTCCCCTCCCCCTTGGTCTGGAGAAAGCTTGTAAACAAACTATTGCACAAGTGTGACTTGACATTGGGCTGCTTCAACTATAATTTTGTCAAATGAACTGTGATGTTTCAAAATCAAAAACAATAATTTGGGACCATACTGCTTAACAATAATGGACTGCAATTATTGTTGAACATACAATCCATTTTTAACAAACTAAGATTATACGATTCAAATACAATTATAAAAATTATCTTGGTACCTATTTTACTTGGGGTAATGAAGTTATGTAGGCTAGTGTAATTCTCGGTTCATCAAGGTTTTACTGAATTATGTTTGGCAGTGAATAAGTGTAGAATGCAATTTATAAATTCAGGGATACACACCTTTTACACAGTTATAAAGTCTAATTTAATTGCCCAACATCAAATCGTGAGCTAGAGCCCATCTTAGTGCATTAGTGATGTTTTCTAAACTTGACAAACCCGCAAAATGCCACTTAAGGCCAATAATCCGTTCCAAAAACGTAAGGAAATACAATGTGAAAATAAACTTGAGATCGAACTCCTTGGCTTGTGAGAACCAGGAAACAAGATAAAACATAACTTCAAGTAAACAAGCCCAAACGTTTGACATCAGTCCTGCTGAGCTAAGGTGTTGTGTGAAGATTTCGGCTGCTAGTGTACTTAATTCAAGCAACCAACTTTTGAAAATAAATGTTGTGAATTGTGATTTTCAAGAGAGAGAAAACTGTGGAATTGGCTAATTTGAAATTCTATAGTTCAAAATTGTCATTTAAGTTTATTTACACAGCTTTACATTGTTTTATAGGTTAAAAATACATATGCAGCTTATTATTAACCGCGCCAAACTATCCGAATCCGAAAATATCCGAATCCGAACCTCCCAATATCCGATCCGATCCGAACCGAGCCTCAACTATCCGATCCGAATCCGATCCGAAATGAAATTTCACTATCCGCACACCTCTAAAATACAATTTTTGCTTTAAACATGCCGACTTTCTATGCTTTAAACGTTAAAGACACCATGTTTTGTAGTATTCAAACCACTTAAGCGTACATAAGCAGACTTAAAGCTCAATAGTGTATTATACGGTTGGAAATCTTATAAATTAACAGTTTTTATCACATTTGGCAACCTTCTAATATACAGAGTGTATAAAAAATTCAGTGGACCAACAAGTTTTAAATGTTTATCATACACCCTAATTTTTATTGTTGTATCTATTTGAGTGTTTACTATTGATCCTCCATCGTTGTCTATAATTCTCAATCAAAAGTTTAAAATAGAACATGAAAACTACATTAATTAGCCTACTCATATTTTCTGGACGTCCACAATTTCCTGGTAAAAATTTGGTCTTACAGAATTATATATAAGGATCTTTTTTTCTTATGTTAAAATTGATGTTCTTCTGTATAATGTCATGTTTAGCAATACTAAATAACGTTCTATTACGAATAATTATATAATCTTAATATTACAGTAACTCTTTTAATGATTCTTATTGCATTATGTTATATCTATTGTACCTATTGTATTGTATCTATTGTTGTCTGCCTTTTTGACTACTTTTGACTAGATGATATTGTTAGTATTCTTGGGACTAATTCTACTTCAAACTTATCACTTATGATTGTTCCTTTGATGTTTTTTATAGTCAGTCTGGTTCCGTTTTAGCATTATTCTAATTGCATATTCTTGTTTTTTTAATATACTGTCAAGATTAATTTTTGAAGTTGCTCCAAATAAACAAATCCCAAAAGCAATATGGGAATGTATGTATGCAAAATAGATTTTACGCATTGTTTCAATATTACAATAAAAGGACATTTTCCTCAAAGCAAATATTCCAGAACTAATTTTTGGTAAAATTTTGTCCACATGGTTATTCCAATCTAAATGCTAATCAATAGTTAAGCCAAGAAACTGAGCATTTGGTTTTGTTATAATTTGCTGAGAATTCAAATCTATCACTGGTTTTCTCTTATTTCTGTTTTGTTTTGTTTTAAAATTAATACAATTAGTTATTCCTACATTCAAAAATAAATTATTTTTTATGATCCTTGAGAAATTTATTGATGTTTTCTAATTCTAGTTTACAATTTACTTCAGTTTCTTCCAAAGTCTCTAATGATAATTTCAAGTTTGAATCATCGGCATATAAAATTGATTTTGAATCAGGTTGGAATAATAAGGCATTTTCCATGTTTTTTATATAACATAAAAATAACAGAGGACCTAATATTGAGCCTTGTGGGACGCCAAATTTAACAGGGTGAGTTTCTGAAGATATACTAATAAGTTTATTTGAGTTTGATAGAAACGTTACTTCGACATACTTACTGCGGTCACAAAGATATGACCAAATCCAATAAATTGTATTTTTCTAAATAATTACTTAACTGGATTGAAGCTATACTATACTAGAGGATAAGCCTATAAATTTACAGTTCTTCCAAAAGACCACTATAACAGATTCTGAACTGGTCAAAATTCGCTCCTCTATGGCATATTTTCTTTATAATGATCCAACCTTCAATGATGACACTTTTTATTCTGTAATGATAAAAAAATTGGCAAAACTGTTTTCTACCCTTCTGTTGACAATAAGGCTACATCTACTCAATCCAATGAAATACCAGTGAAAGTAAATTTGATTACTCATCCTGACTCTTCTTGGAAAATGTCAAAACATCAGTGTAATGTTGAACCAGTTATTCCAACACAAAACAGATTCAGTATCTTTCAAGAAAATTCCACGCACCAGGACTCCCTTGTTATGAGTAACAAATGTGAGGATGCTGAAAATAACTACAAGCGCTCAAGTTGCGACAAAAGGACTAACTCAAGACCTACAAGTAAAAAGAAACAAATAAACTATGAATCAACAAATGTTTCTAAGCAAAGAATCAAAATAACTGTCTGTTCAGATAGTCAAGGTAGCGGTATTGCTAGCAAGGTTGAATCTTTTAGTCGGGGTAATATCTGTGCCTTTGGTTATGTCAGAGCGAATGCAACTTTGTTGCAAGTTGTTGACTCCACCACAATTGAGGAACAAACGCCAGTCGTAATCATCGGGGGAACTAATGACAGCCTTGATTTTAGCTTAAATAATATTTACTCGAAACTAGAATCAAAATTAAAACATTTAAGCAAATTACGACCAACATTCATCACTACAATTCCTACCAGGTATGATAAACCATCTTATGACAAAACCACCTCAGATTTAATTCATGCTAATTGTTATATAAGGGAACTGGTGTCAAGAATTGAAAACACATATTTAATAGACCTGAGTGAGCTAAAGCGTTTTCACTACACCAGACATGGCCTCCACCTGAGTAACAGTGGTAGAAAAAAGGTAGCCCGCATGATTATTAGTTCTGTGACAAAATGGACCCTCAACGCTCTGCCATCGACTTCAAATACTGATTATACACCTGTTCCGGATATCAAAGAAACGCCTCTTTCCATTTTTGCAGAAGACCAGCTAAATCAATACAATATTACTGATAAAATGTCTATAATTGATGCCAATATGAAAGATGTCATTAATATTTACAAAACTAATGATAAAGTTGCTTTCGGACACTGCATTTCTGCCGATTTCACCTGCAATAAACAAATGAGGCAGTCAGCTTTAAGGACATTTTTGGAAAACCGACAAGTTCTGATTATTGCAATAAATATTTAACATGCCAAGAACAACAAAATGAAGCAGTAATTTACAGTCTAGTAACTAAGCCCCGATACTACAATAAACCCTATCCTGAAGTTTATAATTTGGCTTTTCAAAATCTAACTGATAGTTTAAAAAAAAGAGATTTCCACACTTTCATTTGCTCTCCACTCGGCTGTGTTAGGGACCGTATACTTCCAC